CAACCCACTGCCACAGGGGCTGCAGCCTACGCCGTCGCCAGCGACTCACGGCAGCCCAGCTCCAGGTTGAGCTGTTGTTCAGCATCTTAGTTGTGGACTGGCCCTCATATGTGGGATCCGAACCGGGGCCCTCTGGCATCTCAAGCCAGTTCTTAACCATCGCGCCACTCGGCCGGCCCTGGGGAACTTTTTAAACAACCTAGCTGTCCTCAGCTACGGGAAGGCTTTTTTTTTTTTTTTTTTTAAATATATAAGCTGAGCCATCCTGCCACCTATTGGTGGCTCAGCAGCAGCTCAGCTCTGGCCAGGAATTGAACCGCTATTACTCAGAGCTTACACTCTTGAGCGAGCTCTTAACCAACTGAGCCACTCAGCTGGCCCTAAGGGAGGGCTTCTTAACAAGAACTTAGTGCATACTTTTCATATGTGAGCCAGTGTGTTGAGCCCTTCTGAGAGCTGCCAAAACAATGGATGCTTCTAGGCTCAGGCCAGGCGGGGGGCACTTGGGAGATGCTACAATTGGTTGGCATGGAAATAAAAGGAGTTTGCCACTTGTAATGGAGTGTTTTTCATGCTGGTCAGTCAGCCCACACTGTACCAAGCACTGTGGATTTTTACTCTATTAATTAAATATTATGTCATCAGCCTAGGCCTGGGGAGTTGTATGTAACATGTGTCCTCTCTCTCATAGTGATTGACGATGCAACCAAAGAGGTGGTGTATAGGGATTATATTGACATCAGTGTTGCAGTGGCCACCCCACGGGTATGTTGGGGCAGGAGGTGGGGGGGCTCTGGTCTGAGATTCTCACCTTATTCGTGTGAAGAAGCAGACCCCTGGGACAGATCATTTCTGTAATTCTGTCTCTTTGTAAGGGAGTTATAAAAGTAACCTATTTTTGACCATATCATACTCTTTTAATGTCAAGCCTAAACACTTTAGACTCTATTAATCACATTAAGTAATTAAGATATTCTGGGAAGAGGAGACCACTGGCTTGAATCAAGGGAATTATAACTATGAAGGGCACTATAATTAATTTGCAACTGCAAACACCTTTTCACTTTCATCAGGGTTTGGTGGTTCCTGTCATCAGGAACGTGGAAACGATGAATTATGCAGATATTGAGCAAACCATCAGTGAACTGGGAGAGAAGGTAAACTAGAAAGCAGCATGTGTATCAGCCGCTGGGTGGGTCAGGGAATAGAGCCCCAGGAGGGCTGAGCTCACCGGTGAGCAGTGCCTGGGGAGGCGGAGCGGGAGCCTCACCGTGTTCTGTAGGGAGTGCATGGCCCCTGAGAATGGCAGTCACCCACAAGAGCTGAAGTATAGGTACCGGGCCAAGCTTAGCATGCTCTCATGTCTGAAGAGCTCATCAAGTGAGACCTGCTGCGAAAAGGAAAAGGACCGGAGGCATCGTGCCTGCCCTCTGGTGGAGCACTAGTTACAGGCGTCTCAGCTGAACAGCTATCACGCTGAAGCTAGAATTTGCACTGTTGATCTCAGATCTGAGCCTTCTGGACTTCCTTTAGGTGAAAGCTGAGTTGACCTTATATTTAAATTATGAAATCTCTGTTTTTAGGCCCGAAAGAATGAACTTGCCATTGAAGATATGGATGGTGGTACTTTCACCATTAGCAACGGAGGTGTTTTCGGCTCCCTCTTTGGAACACCCATTATCAACCCCCCTCAGTCTGCCATCCTGGGCATGCACGCCATCTTTGATAGGCCAGTGGCTGTGGGAGGCAAGGTAAGAACCGTCACTGCTAACATCCTAGGGGCTAGGCAGTGAGAGGGACACCTAACCAAATGCAAGTTATAAAAGATTCACTGATTCCAGGCATTAGTTCCATCTCCTAGTCTCTAATTAATAGCTGAGGCACGGAATCTCAGATTGTGGTGTGTGGATCAGCATCATCTGGGAACGCAGAAATGCCAATTTTTGGACCCCCTTCCTGGACCTGTTTAAGCAGAAACTGCAGATGATTCTGATACACATTAAAATTTGAGGACCCTTGAGCTTGGAAGGCTGTTCCTTCTTCTGGAACAGTCAACAGGCTTCATTCTCTAGATGGTGCAGGGAGTGGGGAAATAGTTGGGAGACCAGGCCCTTGCCTGTGGGAACAGTGCAGAGCAGTCTACGAGCTGCCAGGTGTAGGATAAGACTTAGAGGTTGTCTGGGAGTTCAGGGAATGGAGTCAGAGGCTGTGGAGCTGACCCTGGAAGACATGTCAGTAGGAAAACATTTTCTGGGACTCCTGTGTTTAGAACATTTTTGGGTCACTACTTTGTGAATCTGAAAATGATAGATATCCCCTGAATATGCTCACACACCCAGCTTTGCACACAATTTCAGAGAATTTGTGGACCCCGGGTTTTAAAAACAAATTTTTAAAATTATAATGCTAAACAAGAAACTACAGCAGCCAGAACTACAGGGAAAACTTTTTAAAAAGTTTTTAAAAGGGAAGTTGTGAGACTTCTGTTTTCTTGGGTACGCTTTGTTTCTGAGTGTGGGAATTGGGGGAGCTTTGTGCTAAGGGTAAGACTTGGTCTTTGAAAATATTTAAGTATCCAGAAGCAATCAGTAGGAAAGGCTCTGCAACTGGGAACTTTCCTATGGGCTCTGCTTTCTCATCTGCCCCATCAGCAGGACTTTTTCTGCCTTACTGCAGGCAAACCTGTGAACCTCTTCTCTCTGTAGGTGGAAGTGAGGCCCATGATGTTCGTGGCACTTACCTATGATCACCGGCTAATCGATGGCAGAGAGGCTGTGACTTTTCTCCGCAAAATCAAGGCAGCGGTAGAGGATCCCAGAGTTCTCCTACTGGACCTTTAGGAGGAAGCCAAATGCCCTACATATCAACCATGCAGGAACTGAAAACCAGTCTTCTCCTTGCCCCCCACGCGGGTCCTGGGTTAGCCTGGTGACAGACAGGCACATGCTGTTGGCCTCAGCAAGGAAGCCAGGGCACTCTGTAACCAGCAGTCACAGGTCTTTCCTCGGTATTCCTAGCAGGCTCTCTCCCTCTCTGCACCCTTCTCTTACACTCAAATATTGTATTTCCTTAGGCTTGGGGAAGAGAGCCTTAATGGATGCTCATTAATATTCCTGTCTTTCTTCCATTAGCCCCCTGCAGAGATGATTTTGCTTCTCCCCTGTGCAGAATACTATAGGAAAACCACTGGGGACCATGTGATTAAGTTTCAATCTTTTGAAAGTATTCTCCAGAGACGCCTAGGAGGGTGCTGTGCTTCCCAAGCTTGAGGCAGCCTCTGTGTTGGCTGTGCACATTTTCACTCGATTCCACCTGTGTGGAGGTTTTGACCACAGGCCAGGAGGTGCTGCTTTGCTTAATTCACCTTCATTCTCAGCTATCATTGACTTCAAGATGCCTCTTCTACCTCTTCCAGGAAGCACATGCCAGGGGATCTGGCTAGGAGGGGTCTGGCGGTGTTGAGGGGGGAGAGGGCAGATTCCTCCTGAGGTTATATATTGGAAACTAGGAGGGAGCGGAACCCAGACCCGCCCTCACACTCCATCACAGCCTCGCACCGGGAAGACTCATTTTGGCACAGTCACACACAGCTGTGGTTGTGCCAACTTTTCCAGGTTGCTAGGAACCATTCTAGCCATTGTTCTCATTTAGAGCAGATTGTAGCATCTCATGGCAGTGGGGGATGGTTACCACCCAGGACTGGAGCCTGGTAGAGACTGAGGTGAGGAAAGTTTTTTGTGGATTGGCTCAGATTGACTTGAGCTTTTAAATTCCACTGGTATAAGCGAGTGGACTGAAGAGGCAGCCCTGTTCCTTCCTGCATCATGGCCCTTGGGGAGCAGGGCCTTTGAGCTTCCTCTGCAGAACACAGGTCTGGGGGAGGATGGACTGTGGTGGAAACCAGCCCCAAGAAGCTAGTACACAGGGGAGGTGACCGATGTCACCTCTAAGGTACTGCCCGTTGGGTCTGGCCACAATCATTGGAATAATTGGAGCAGGGGTTTTGTCATGAAAGCTGTCGGGCTTCATCGCTTTCAATCCAATGGCATCCAGGCCCGAGGCTGCTGACACTTGACCCCGGGAGCCCTTCGTTTAGTGCAGAGTGCCCATGTGTACCTTGAGGGAGGAAGCAAGGCCTGGGGGTGGGGTGGGGGGAAGGATGGGGGATGGGAGCCAGTACTGAGTGCCTGCAGCATCTACTATGTCGTCACTATTCAGAACTTGTAACTGAAATATTTAAAGAAAGTGATTTTAAATGCAAATTAAAGGGCAAATGTTCTCAAATGGTTCCTGCGTCTGTGTTCCTTTTGGTTTCTGAGGTTGTACAAGTCTCCAGCACTGCTTATTGTTAGCATTGAAAGCCACATTCTGTCCCTTCAGTTACCCTGTGATACCCCAAACTTTTGAAGTAAGTTAACACTAATTTGACAGGAGATGGAATTGTATCTGTCAGCCAGGAAAGTGCTCCAGCTTCCAGTGAGCCCCTCAAGCCCGCAAGCCATCCTCTTGAGAAACTATTGGGTTGTCGGGAAAGGCATGACGTCTTTTTTCTCTGTTTTCCGTTGTAAAAATGCATCATGACTTTCCCGACAACCCAATAGTTCCCAGCTTTGTGAAGCCCCTTCAAACACTAACACACTTGCATTTTTGTGGGGCTTCCATTATTTCTGGGGTGAACTGGGGAGAGGTAAGGTTACTCTTAAAATTTCACATTTTGGACTTGATCGCCACGTGTGTACCAAGATGTTCAAGGTCAGTAAGAACAGGAGGGTAGATTACATCCTAGAATCAGTGGTCTTTGAGGGTGAGGGGACAGGTTGGGAGCTAACCTAGACTGACTGACTCCGTGTGACAGGCGTAATGGTGTCCGGGCTTAAACACAGCTTGGTCTTGCCACAGTTCCCGCCTGCTGATCTCACTTGCAGTGGTGCCATCTCTATGTGAAGGTCTCACAGAACAGAGTGGCTCCCAGAGGGTAGAACTATTCAGAATTAGTAGGCAGAAAAAAAAAAATCGGCTCAATGAAAGGAAGTTTAGATTTACCAGGTCCAGAGCATGGTGCTAAAAGCTTTGATTTTTCTAGTAAACCTACAAGTTACTAGCCCCATTTCATCAAAAGGAGGTAGACTGTCAGCCCCATGAGGGCTGGGACCTCAGAATTCAAAACTCAGGACCTAGCAAAGTGCCAGAAATGCAGTGTTTATTGCATGGAGAGGGCCCAGCAGTTCCAGAAGCAACTCACTTCGCGCAGCAGTGGTTGGAAGTGGTCTCACCAGACGCAGGGAGTGTAGCAAAAGGAACAGTTGTGAACAGGCTCAACTAGGCTCTGACCAGGTCCTCGCATTAACCTCTGAACAGGATCCACCATTGTCTCAAAGGGTCACTGTGAGGATAAACTAGCATTCCCTCTAGGCACCATGACCCTCTTCCGAGACTTCCTTTTATTTCCCACAGAGCCCAGTGCCCCCTACATGCCAGCACTTCCCCCTGGCTCAAAGCTGCTCTGCAGGCCACAGGCTGGCATGCCAGTCTGCCACCAGCTCTACTTCCTAGCAGACTCCAAGCTCATTTTTGACTATCCTAGGGCTTCTCTGGGGGATACTTCTAATCCCCCACTTCTGGCAGGGCCGTTCTCATTCCATTAATGAGGCAAAGACACCATAGGCAACATCATTCTTTATTGGGGGGATATGGGCGAGCCGCAGGGAAACCAGGACTCAACTAGGCTGTGCTTCCCCACGTCCTCTGCCCCAGAGTCATTCTGGCCTCCTTAACACAGGTCCCTACCCCCCGAGTTAGACTTGGTCCTTCACAGAGTGAAGTGTCAGAAGCGCCACCTGGTGGTGTCAGAGACACACTGAAGGGAAGGAGTTGGGGGCAGAAGTCTGGTGGAAGTTTTTATCTTAAGTGCCACACCCCAGTGACAGGGTGAGTCCTGAGACAAATAAGGACCCTAAACCTGGGGAGGGGATTGTCTTTGGGGGTAACTACTTACCCCGGAAACATCTTGCTTATGGCTAAAAGCTTGGGCAATCATTCCGTGTCTCTTTTGAGTTCTCACTTCAAAAGGGGATGAAGTCCCAGTGGGCAGTGAATTGAGTGGGCCCTCAAGACTAAAATGCAAAATGGTCAATAGGACGGATGCCTGAGAAGGGAATCGTAATGGGTACAACTTGTCTTAGCAGCTTCAGCCTAGAGGCTGAGTTGTGATCTCCTCTCAGATTCATGGGGCAGGCTCCCCATTTGCTCCACACTGGTAGGCTAGCTGGGGAATGGACCTTTTTATTCCAAAATTGCTCTAAGAGGCATGCGTGTGCACTCCCCCCTCCCCCCATTCCTCCATATCCTTATTTTCCTGCCCTCCCTTCATTTTGTTCTCCAAAGTCTGAAATCACAAGATAGGGGACACGGTCAGGAGGGGGGTTGAATCACCCTGTCCACCCCTTCCCCCCACGCCATGCCCACTGCAGACTTCCTGCTTCCCCCGCCTCCCCCACCCCCTGCAGGAGTAGCCTCTGGTGCAAGAAGCCCACTAGTCATGGCTAAGGTGACCAACCAGGGCAGCCTTGGTTTGATCCACTGAGCCAGTGGCCCAGTATCCTGAGAGAAGTCTCCAGAGATGTCACAAGTGGGGCACAACATGGCAGGTATCAAGTCACAGAACCCCGCAGTCAGCTCAGCAGGTGGTCGGGAGTTCAGAGCTAAGGTGACAGGAGGCACCCTTTACCGCGGTGTGGTAGGTCTGCGTTTGAGGTATAGGGTATGCACTCAACAGGCATCTGTTGCCTGATGGGTGGAGGGGTCCAAGCTGCCTAGCAGGGTGAGATCTGTCCTGTCCCTCCCCCTAAGCAGTGACCAGAAAGGGTTTCTCCAAGAGCTGGCTGGGAGAGTTTCTGGGCGCCTCGAGGGCAGTGGTGATGATGACTTCCGAGGCCCAAGGGAGGGGCCTAAGCAGGAAAGGCAGCTGCCCTGCATTCTTTTCCGGAGGGCCATTGATAAGAGGGCCCAGCTCTGGGTGACAGGCGAAGAGAAGAGATCCAGACCAGTCCAGCCGCTTCCATGGCCCACCCCACCCCCTTACCCCACCAATTTGCTCCACTGGATAGTACTGAAAAAGGGGTGGGACTTGAGCCTGTTGACTCCGCCTCCTCCAGCGCCCAGGCGCCGGGTGGGATCAAACTGCAGCAGCTGTGGAGAAAAGCCCAGTCAGCATGGGGCAGGCCTCCACAGCCCCACTGCTAAGGTACGGGCTGACCCCTGGGGACTGCAGTCACCGTGGCCCCTGGGAGTTCACTTCCTACCAGGCTGGCCCACAGAAGCCCCAGTTTTACCCCGGGGGACACTGGTGTTGTTTGGCCACCAACATATGGGAATTTGTGACTTCCTGTACCCACATCAGACATCTATTCTAGTAGCAGCGTTTGTTCACACACAGGGTTCTGCCCTCCCAGCTCCCACCCTCAGGCCAAGGAGCCTCCTCCTGTAGGCCCGCTGTACCTCACCTCAATCAGCAGGGAGGCTGCTGGGCGACTGAGCCACTCGGGCAGCTGGAGCTGGGTGTGAGGCTGGATTCCTGAGGGGTGGCTCTGGGACAGGGCCTGCGAAGACACAGGGAGGGGCCTCTGAGGAGGCAACCCCATGAAAGCCTGTACGCTCAAGCGGCAGCTGGGATTTTATTTGCCCCTGTGTCACATCCGACGGGATGATGATGATGTTAATTGTTGCCTTCTGCTTTGAATCTACTGTTTGCCAGACTGTGCTAGATGCCTGACAGCCATTATCCATACTTTCCAAACAACCCTCAAAGTAAGGATGTATTAGTATCCCCGTTTTAAAGATAAGAAGCAGGCTGAGAGAGGGACAGGGACTTAATGCTGAGTTCAGGGTTTGAACCCAGTTCCCTCTGGCTCCAAGCTTGCTAGAAGCATTGATCTTGGATTGCAATCAAAGCAGGCAATTCAGGAACAGTATTGGAACTTGTATCCTTACAGAAAAAATATCTCCATGGGCCACTCAGTTGGCAGTAGGCTGTGGCGGGGGGG